TGAAGTTTGAACCCTACTGATTGCACAGCACGTGCGCACTCCTACCGTCTTCACCCGAATAGAACGCCCGGTAATTATCGCCGTATCTGGCCTGATAGTTGTGCCAAGTACAGCTACAATGACCAGGTGTTCTATTCGGGTGAAGACGGTAGTTCAAAAGCGTCAGAGAACACACATCACAATGATGCCGTGTTATGGTTTGAAGTATGCACCCTACTGATTGCATACTAGTGCACAAGCAGCAGACAACACACACACCACAATGATGCTGTTCGAAGTGTGAACCTGCACAAGAACACACACCACAATGATGTTGTTCAAAGTTTGAACATTGAACCCTCCTGACTGCACAGCACATGCACACTAACTAGTAGCACAAAAACGGCAGACAACACACCGCAATGATGCTGTGTTATGGTTGGAAGTTTGAACCCTGCTGATTACACAGCACATGCACACTACCAGTGTACAAGCGGCAGACAACACAACCGCAATGATGCTGTACGCATGGTGGTGCGCGCGCACAAATACTCCAAAACGTTAACAGGAAAAAAAGGCATGAGAGCTTGATTCATGTTCTGGATTCTCTTTTTCAGTTTGTGAAATGTTTCCATTCATTCTTGCCGGGCTGTGCAAGTTTTTAACGCACCACACCGTGCACCTTGCGATCCACAACGGCGGAACATGACTTTGTCTCCGACTTAAACTACTGTGAAACGGATGTGAAGTCAAACTCTATTGACTCTAAAGCAATCCCATTCCAACGATCCCAACACACTGAATGTGCTCCTGAGGGAAAACAGAAAGTGGACGTTCCACTTTAGAGGCGGAGAGTGAGCATGGCGCAGACTTCAAACCACTTCTAGAGAAAACTATATGGACTGTGGAGATGTCACAATCCAATTATCCCAATATGCTAAACATTATCCTGAGGAAAAACAGCAAAGAAAATATAGTCATTGTCAGAAGCACTGAGTTTTCTTTGAAAAACACGTGCATTTCGAACAGGTGTTCTAACTTCTGACAGATCAAAGGACAGCACTGGTTTAACCCCTAATCTCAGACCACCAGTCCCTGTGACACTGTACTGCGCGCCAAAAACCCAAACGAAGTGGCATGGGTATAATTTGTTTTCCCCCTTTTTGCCCGGCACCACCACCCTTTCCTTCCAGCAAGCCAAGGCCTTGTTAACATGGCGGGTTAATGGGGGCGTCGGAACAAAATAGCTGGGAAGGGATTGGTGGGTTAAAGAGGAATAAGCCTGATGGCCATCAAACGAAGACATGGTTGAAGTGACTCACAGGATCCGGCTTCTGCTGCAAAGAAGATTGCGGATGTGTTTGCGCTTCCTCTGCTGTGCTTTTCTGCTCCACATCGCCAAGCAGTACTGCTGGGACAAAGGCCCTGTTACAAGCCACAGGCATTTGCAAAGTCAGTTTCAGTTTTGCTGTCTACATCTACCCCCTCGTTAGTTTGTATGCTTGGGGTCAGGCCATCTTAAGGCCTGATGCAATTTGTCCAATATGATGTCTCCATAGCTTGGCATCAAATCCAGCCTGGAAGTAAGCAATCTGCAACAAGTAAACAATTTTTCCTTTAAACCGCCACTACCATTCACAGTGGTGGGAAAAGTGGGAATATTCCTCAGGGACTGGGCATCGGCAGCCTACTTTCCGTTTCCCGCCTTCGAAACTCACGGGTACCAACCTGCGGCTAATGTAGGGGGAAGGTTGTGGCGGTATAAGAATTCTGTTCCGTACGTGAAACATATATTTGACGTAATATTAACTATTGGGGTAAACAGTATACAGGCGGCTCTGTTTTCTGTTAACACACACACACACACACACACACACACACACACACACACACACACACACACACACACACACACACACACACACACACACATGCACGCATGCACCCACACCCCTGCCCCCACATCCCTGCCCCCAGACACTTGCCCGCCGCACCCCCAACCCCACGACCACGCATGCACACCAATGCACTCACCCACCCATGCACCAATGCACCATAGCTTGGCATCAAATCCAGCCTGGAAGTAAACAATCTGCAACTAGTAAACATTTTTTCCTTTAAACCGCCACTACCTTTCACAGTCGTGGTAAAAGTGGGAATATGACCTATACTGCATTCTTCGGGGACTGGGCATCGGCAGCCTACTTTTCGTTTCCCGCCTTCGAAACTCACGGGTACCAACCTTCGGCTGATGTAAGGGGAAGGTTGTGGCGGTATAAGAATTCTGTTTCGTACGTGAAACATATATTTGACGTAAGATTAACTATTGGGATAAACAGTATACAGGCGGCTCTGTTTTCTGTTAACACACACACACACACACACACACACACACACACACACACACACACACACACGTGCACACGCACGCACGCATGCACCCACACCCCTGCCCCCACAACCCTGCCCCCAAACCCTCGCCCACCGCACCCCCAACCCCACAACCACGCATGCACACCAATGCACTCACCAACCCATGCACCAATGCACCTACCCACCCAACCCCTCACCTCCCCTATCAGCTGGACTTGGCAGAACGCAATTGCAAATTGAATCAGGAGGAACAAAACATACAAGTTCAAGCACGTAAGTTCATGCAGACCAAATCCATTTATTGCCAGAACTTCAAAGGCGGCCCAATGGATCGGCCCTAAAGATGATGAAACTGTCTACTGCAGGAGGGCAGCAGAAACACCATCTGCAGGGGTCTACTGTATATGAAAAAATATCTGCAACAACAAAACATTTAAATCGCAAAAGCACGGAGCACAGACTGAATGGCAAAACACAGCAGTTGCATCAAAACATCAGAAACAAATTCCATATGGATCTCTCTCTGAGGGCACACTCACGCTACGACTTTTTCCAGTTCTCTGTGGACGTAACTGGGGTCAAGTGCATATAGATTGGGTTGGAAAAGCAGACATATCCAGCCAGAAAAGTCCTACTGTGAGTCCCTGAATGATGTTCATACAAATCAAATTACATCAGGATTCCTCTGAATGTGAGAGATCGACCAGCGACTCTCTTCTGTGTACCTCAAATCTGGTAGACTCTCATAAAATGAGCGTGTGTCCTCGTCGTCCCAGATTGGTTCCGCAACAGCCTGATCTTTTCCACCACCTTGTCCCCCAGACCCTTCTTCCATTACATTGACGCGAGTTGTCCGGCCATCCTCGGGCATCACGGGGGCCGCTCGATCCAGCGCCTCGGCCAGCCTGCAGATGGATTGGAAGCAATCCAATGATACACACACAAGTGCTCAACAGCCGCCCGAAAACATACCAGGCCATCCCAGGACAAGACTCCAGTATTGATAAGTTCACAGTGCTCGACACCAAGGATACGTGAGCTTTCCCTGTAGTTTCCCTTGAGCATTGATAAGTTCACAGTGCTCTACACCAAGGATACATAAAGTTTCGTATGTAGTTCCCCTGTAGTTTCCCTGTGGTTTCTCTGTATTTTTCAACAAGAATGTTTGGCATTCAGGAAAAGGCCGAAGACATGCAAACAAGCAGTCACAACAAGGAACGAGTACAAAAGAGATGGGTGGCGCCTTACACCCAATAGTTTGTTCTCAAACAAGTGCTCAGAGAGGAGGGGGGGGGGAGAGGGGGGGAGTGCAATGAGCCTCAAAGCTCACCACACGATGGAGTGCTCACACCAGCATACATGTCACACAGATTGTCTTGTCACACATTTGCACAAAGAGAAGATGAGTAGTAGACCAGAAACAAACGCAGCTCAATTATCTCAACCAAAATTATCACAACCAGATTATAGAGAGAGAATCAAGAGTTCAACTGTCCGGTGCTTCACAGGATTACAAGCCTGCTTCGATCGTCAAAAGCCTCAGCATCTGCGCTCATCAGCGCTTGTCACCAACACCAAGTTCAACACTCTCCAGGTAAGTATCCACCATAGCTTACTCTCTCTCCCTCTTATAGCTCTCTCACTTTATGATTCTGGTCTTCATTCTTCACAGTCTTCCTCTTCTCTCACATGCGCACTCCCTACTACTAACACACACATGAGGATCAACTCTGAATACCACTCACGGCTCTACTACTACTAACTACCGCTATATTGCCTCCCAGTGCTGGCGCAGCTATGGCTGCCTTCTTCTCTGCCAGGGTCTACTTCCTCTCTCTCATCTTGCTCAGCACTGCTCGCTGGCATAGCGCAGCTCCCACACTAGCGCACAAGTGGACAAGCACTTCCACACTCTCGTGCGAATGAGCATCTGCCCGAATGGTAGGCTGGCCAGTCCTCCTGTAGTCTTGGAATGCACTTCAACTCGTGCCAGCCTCTGCTTCCTGGGGCCTGACTGGTTCCGGTACCACATCCCCACGGCCTGTCTGCTTCTGAATGTCAAGGCCTGGAACCTTTCCGAATTTCCATGGGTCTGCTGGTGCTTGGGCCTATGGGTCATGACTTTTCATTTGAGAACATGACTTTTGACTGTGGATAGTGACTCCTGCCTATGGGTCACGACTTTTGCCTGTGATACTGCCTTTACTCGTGGGATGCGACTCTTCAATATGATTTTTCATTAGGAAACGTGACTCCTCTGAATGGCTTTTATTATGAGACGTGACTCTTGTCCCTGAGATGTGATTATTTCTTGGGTGCCTGTTGGACCAGACTGCTGAGGTACCCGATTGTGACTTTTCTGAGTTTGACAGATTCGGCCTTTTCTTGACCTGGGCATCTGACCCTGAGATCCGAATTCGGGGTCTGAACCGTGGAAGGCCTTTCACTCTCGCCGGCCTAATTTCGAAGTCCTCTGAGAATTATCATTTTTATCTGTCTACTATATTGATTCCTCTCCTTGCTCGTTCATAATAAAATACAATATTCGGTGCTGTTTGAATCAATTCTTCTCTGGTAAACCAACGATCTTCAGTTGGTTCTTGATATGCAAATCTTACCTTATATTGTCACTGGGGTCTACCTCTGTGTCCAGTTCTAAATGTATCTTCAGCAATAATTTTGTCCACATCATATTTCCCATCCATGTCAGGTGGTATTTGTTGCATACTTGTGAGTACTTCAACAAGTATGGGCAGAACCAAGAGATCAACCAATATAGGATGAGCATGTATGCAGCGGAAGTCTGATAAATGGACTGACTCACATAGGCTGACTCACACAGATATCACTCCACACACAAACAATCGTGAGATGGTGGGGTCTGATCCAATCATAGACAATGCTCAGGCCCCGTACAAACAGACACAGATGAAAGGTGGGAGGAGAGACGAAGGAGGTGGGAGATGTAGGCAGCACCAGAGGTCACCGAGATAGAATCCAATAGGTCACCGATATGGTAGTCCAAAATGCCATCGAACAAGATCGAAATGTCGTGAATAGTAAGTCACCAATATCGGAGATACAGAGTCCTAAGGTAACCGGTGTCTGATCTGTGATGCCGCCGAGTATCATCCCCAACAATCTCCAAGTCTCGAATCCGGTGAGTACCACAGCCTCTTACCACCGAAGTCCAACACTGATCTCTGTCCAACTAGTATCCAGTCTCCAATCTGAAGAAGAAGAAGAAGAAGAAGAAGAAGAAGTCTGAAGAAGGAGATGAAGACGGAGAAGAAGAGAACAGAGGAGGAGAGAGGTGAGGAGGAGGGGAACCAGGGGCCGTGGAGGGAGGAGAAAACCTCACCCCCGAGTACCTGGTGTACTGCAACTGGCTGAAGTCGAGATCGGCTATGGCTGCCCGCTGCCTGGCTCCTCGCTCACTGCTGCTGCTGCGCTAGCTGCGCTGCTGCTGCTCCTCCGCGCTGCGCTAAGAATAGCGCTGGCGCTAACGCTCCTCTGCTGAACCGAAACGAACTGGCGCTACAGCAGCGTCCAGTTGCTCGATGCCCCACAATGAGGCTGGACCGCTCTTTAGTACCGGTGGAAAAGAGGCCGGCCTCAATGCTGCGAGGCCTGGCCGTGATCTGAACCGTCAAGATTGACAATTCAGATCGGATCGGCGGGCGGCAGCCTCAAAAGCGCCGCCAGGCCCAAAACGAGAATGTCGTTTGGGCCTGCCCGTCGGTCTGGTCCAAAAATGCGGCCTTTCGGCCTGCTGTACCCCCAAGTCTGGGCCTTTAGGCCCTACTGTGTCCCTCTGGCCCTAAGTCGGGTCCAGTAGGGCCCGTGTGGCGTCGAAGATGTAACAGTATTGCTGACCTTCGACTGGGAAACATGTCATTAGTTACACAAGGTAGAAGTTTTGACGCATGAAATACCGGATATGTATGCAAATGTGGAAGAATTTCTATAACACAGGATGGTCCGTCACATAACATAAAACGATGCTCAAGA